TTATTATTATTGCCATTTATATAGCGCCAACAGATTCTGTAGCGCTTTACAATATTATGAGAGGGGGATGTAACAATAATGTATAGATTCTAATTCCTAACTCGAGCTTTCAGTAAAGTCGTTCAAAAATGTATTAGCTTCACACTTCTCACATAATATATAGTGCTAACTATTATATTTTATTTTATGTGTAGACATTTCATATAATTTATTTGCATTATGTATTCACTGGCAACACAACCAATTTAAATTTCAGTTTGCCCTCATATAATTTAAGAAAAGTTGAAAAATTTAGGATTCTACTTGCTAAGCCCTAACAAAAATACTAATTAAAGGAACACTCCAGACCCCTAAAGCCCTTAAAACTGAAGTGCTTTATGTGTAAGTAAATTTGTGTGAATTTGTAAATAAATGTATACATTTTTGTAAATGTGAAGATTTCAGTAGAAATTGACACTATTATAAATTAACCTTGTTACACCCCCTTTCTGTCAATCAGACAACTGATCCTGTCTCTTCCTGGTTGTCTAGCTCAGTGAAGCTAAACCCAAGAGGAAAAGAGTGCTTCTGCCTTTGCAAAGACTTCTCATTGAACTTTATTAGGAGGTATGTAATTGGACAGCTACAGAAAGTCTGGGGAGGGCTTGCAAACGCTACAGACATGAGATCTGAAGCTTTTGGAAGATGTTTTTGCATACACCCATTGAAACAATGCATGATTAAATGCATGCATGTTTTCTTTGAGGGTATATAGCAGTGATTTGTGTCTTAATCGGACATTGTAGTGTCCCTTTAAGTTCTTATTCCTTTGTCATTATTTTAATTTAACATACTGCAGTTCACCTGGCAGTTGAAGATAGCAATCTTCTTTACATAGTTTTTTCCATTGAAAGAGGTTATTGAAGCCAAATTGTTGGGGTGCTAAACAATTTACGATTTCTCCATTTACCATACAGAGAAGGTAAACACTCTGTGTCTTTAGGTACTTTTGCTTTTCACTTGCATTGTATATGGCTAACTTTAAAGTATTGTATGATCTGTATATTTTATGTGTTTAACTGACATTCTTGATATGTTTGCCATTTAGAATTTCACTATTATGGTGTGTATTTTTTTTTTTTTTTGGCAAAATACAGATTGGACCATTTTGGATGATTCAGAGCACCATCCTTCCTTCTATTCAATCTAATAAACTTTGACCCTCACGCTACAACACAAGATTCCCAACCCAATGCTGACGATATTTACATTGTAACCACCAACGGCCTCATAATAGTCATTTTCATCCATTGTGCTTTCTAATCATTTAGCTGTGCCAAGTAAGCCACACGTATGTAGACTACATTTTAATAAAGATTTAATAAATACCGGTATACTTGCAGAATATCCCACGTGGTAGCTCTGCCAAGGACTTTTGTAATGTGCACTTGTGATAAATTTCACGGCATTTCAACCAATGTGCAAGTGCTTCAGTAGAACTCAATGAATGGCAGCTGTACAGATTTTAATTTTCAGAATGTTATCTGTATAGGAATCGAACCCCACATTGGAGAGGAGGTGATACAGAAAAACTATTGGCCATGAAAGAAACTGAATGGATACATAGATTAAAAACTACCTCAAATTTGGTCTTAAATGTAGATTTAGATCTACTAGTTTTTTATGGATTATTATATTTATTATTTTAGATCTTGTTTTTTCTTCGAGCCTTGCATTAACCTTTCTTAATCTTTTTATCAAAACATTTATTTAGATTTTTTTAATTTTTTTTATAAATTTTTCTCCAATTGAATATAGGAATATCTACATTTACTTTCCCATACTCTTTAATGTTATCATCATGTTCATCAGTATCTAAAATTTTATATATGGACTCTGTTCCCGTAGTCTTTTAACAAACTGTCTAAAGAAACTCTCAGTATCTCTACATGATATTCTAGGTATCTTTTTATGATATTCTTTGTTTTCTTAAGGTTTTTAAGTGAAATTTTTTATTTAATTTGTTGACTTGTTGCATTTTGTATTTTACATTGTTACATGTTCTTTTGATTTCCACAAACAATCTTTAACATACATGACACATTAATTTAGCAATATTTGAATATATTTTTATATTATATTTTCAATAAGAAACTGTATACACATTATACACTTATTGTTTGTAGAATGATGTATCATTGTATTTTCCAATTACTCTGCTTATGCACTGTGTTCCGTAAGATTAATTTGTTCTGATCGGAACATGTGTCTTCGGGAGTATATTATCTATAACTGAGATGCTTACTTATGATGACATAAACTTTGCACGCAAGTATCGGGAAAGTTCTGTAATAACCCTTTCAACAATTGAGGTGTTGCACACAGCATTGTGGTGAAAATCCAGCAACTAATGGAAGTACTAAGGACTATGTGGAAACTGACTTTGTCTTGTTCTCAGCCATCTTGCTACTATTCAGACAAAGAGAAAATGGAAAAAAGCCAAATAGCAAGTCGCCTTAAGAGTGGAGCGATAAAGTTATAGATTGGACACCTACCCTAAATAAGGGTTGTCTGGTCTTATCTTTACATTAACACTGATAATTTTGTCCAGTTGGTCTCAATACATGTATGAAAGAAAACACAAAAGGAAACACATAGTATAAATCTGTGTGGTTGACTTATAAAGTGAGATAATTGTATAAAATGTCAACCATGGGCGTCTGCCAGAATTTTTCCAGGGTGGGGGGCATAATTGTAATGACATCCATGCTTGGTCCCTTTTTGACACTGTCATGAAAGGGAAGGGGCATAGTAATTATCACATAAAGCCAGGGTGCCCCCATGCCTCACTTCCGTAATATATAGCCTGCCCCCATGCCTCACTTCCCTGATCTATAGGCTGCCCCCCATGCCTCACTTCCCTGATCTATAGGCTGCCCCCCATGCCTCACTTCCCTGATCTATAGGCTGCCCCCATGCCTCACTTCCCTGATCTATAGGCTGCCCCGCATGCCTCACTTCCCTGATCTATAGGCTGCCCCCCATGCCTCACTTCCCTGGTCTATAGGCTGCCCCCCATGCCTCACTTCCCTGATCTATAGGCTGCCCCCATGCCTCACTTCCCTGATCTGTAGGCTGCCCCCCATCCCTCACTTACCTGATCTGTAGGCTGCCCCTACATCCTTCACTTACCTGATCTGTAGGCTGCCCCTACATCCCTCACTTACCTGATCTGTAGGCTGCCCCTACATCCCTCACTTACCTGATCTGTAGGCTGCCCCTATATCCCTCACTTACCTGATCTGTAGGCTGCCCCCCCATTCCTCACTTACCTGATCTGTAGGCTGCCCCATCCCTCACTTACACCTGAACTGTAGGCTGGCTGCCCCCCATCCCTCACTTACCTGATCTGTAGGCTGCCCCCCATCCCTCACTTACCTGATCTATAGGCTGTCCCCCCATCCCTCACTTACCTGATCTGTAGGCTGTCTCTGTTGGCTGCATGTGCTGCTCCCCTGCGGTTTCAGTCAGCAGAGAGAAGCAGGGATAAGATTTAGCTTCCTATCTCTGTCTCTCACCATACCCAGCGCCACCTACTGGCTGGCACTGGTATTGCAAGCTGAAAAATCCAGGGGGTGCGAGTCTAACAAACCATACGATTAGGCTGCAAACGTTGACAAAAAAAAAGAAAACATTAAGTTTGCACCCAAATATTGAGTTAAGTTATTTCACAATCGTGTTTGTGGCAGCCGGGTACCCAAAAATTAAACAAAATATGTATATCATAAATCCATAACAGCAACAAAATGCTTCTGAGCAACTTGCTTAGTTCAAGGTTAATCAGAGATAGCTGCATATCACTCGCCCTGAGGCTAAAGTAAAGTTCTTTTAATCTATGTTTATACACAAACTACTTTTTGATGAATAGTAGCCATACTATGGAAACACTAACATATTTTGTGTGCTCTTGAGTTACTAGAACAAATAACTACATACAGTGTATATGTACATTTTATTAATTGTTTCCTCTGTAGTCTTCCTTTAAATCCTGTTTCACTATTATCTTTGGTAAAATCATTAAATCTTCGAGTGGCCATGACCTGCACCTAATGACTTCTACCCTTTAGTAAGTACAATTGTTATGCTTCCCATTAACTAAAGTATCACCGTCAAATTCAGATCATAACTATTGCTATACAGTGGAGCTAAAGGCTGCTTTGGATGTATAACATATGTATAAAGTGATGCAGAAAGTATAAGATTATTTTTTGTTTTTTTGTATATTTACAAGTTTGGAATGTATTCAAATATGTTTGCTGGTAACTATGGCAATGCGTTTGCCTTGCTATATGGAAACCTTTTTGGTTGCACATACAGGCTGTAATGTTTATACATAACATGTATTTATGTATGATTTAAGATTTATCATTTTTGCTAAACTTACTGTTTTTTTGAAAAAGAAAGAAAAGTACTGATGTCCAGGAAAATAGCACAGACTTTAAATCAAAAGTGAGAATATGAAAAGACTATTTAAAGTTCCCCTAACAGAGAGATGCTACTTGCACTATAATAAAGCATTGAAGCGCGAAATGCGTTTTGGTTTTTTTTTGTTTGTTTTTTACATATGTATAATTCTTTATTTTAGCAGTGCTGGTTATAACATAGAAGCTTGTTGTAACATTTCACATGAGTATATAGTACAAGACATGTATGTAGTATGAGATATACTGCACTGTTTTTCAATATAGAGAAGACAAGATTAAGTAAAAGACAATGAGATGTAAAAGATTAGTATCATAAGTGAGTTCAAGAAGCAAATACCACTGGATATCTAAATCTGATAGCTGCATATTATGAGACTTGGCATGCTAATCAAGTAGAGTAGTTAGGTCATGGCAAATAGTGTGCTCAGAATGAATAACGAACACTTCTAGGCTGCAGGTTAATCTGTGCATTACTCATCCAATACCCAGGGCTGTGGAGTCCTAGCTTCCACCATTATTAGCAACCTCGAGGAGGACTTTCCACCGCGCCCAGGGCATCAGACAGTCCAGCCAGGATTTCAACTGGGACACATTGTTTTGGGCTTTTCAGTTTTGCACACCGTGCTGTATGATTTGGAATTCTCCAGGTCAGGCAAGTTGCGTTGGGACCAAAGGAGCTTGTGATTCTGATGTCTGGGTGAGTTGTGGAGACCAGAGTGGCGGGGAGTATTTGGTCTCCGCGTCGGCTGCTTGTTGGTCTATTCCGCAATGTACCTCTGGGGTCAAGCATTAGTTGCTCAGATGCTCTGTGTCCAGTAACAGGCCAGCTCCATGGAGTCACAAATTGGATTACAGGGGTAGAGTTAACAGTAAAAACGACTATAAATAGGATGGTGCAAAGAGGATGGTTTTTTTTATCTCCTATATAGATATCAGAGTGATTACTGTTGCAAGTATATTTACTCATTATATCTGTTTGGTCACAATCACTGTTTTGCACCAGTTATTAATATTAATACACCTAGTATGCATCTTAAGCAATAACATGGATGCATACTGTTTCTCTATAAGGGGTAGAGTTAAGGCTTCAGGCCTCAAGTTTTGCCAAAAATTCCTTGCAGATGTGTTCAAAAGCCAGAAGTAGTGGCTCAGCAGGCGTAGGTGTCTGCAGAGCGGCCATCTTGACCACCAGGCCTGAGCCTCTCCGAAGTACTGGTAAGTTCACGAGTTTGTTGGAGTGACCACCACAGCTCTTAGTGGGGACTGGGATATCTCTCACCGGTCAGAGTTAGCAGGCTCTGCACCAAGGCCGAAAATCGTCCACTTCCCCATCCTCAAGCAGATTCGCAGGACGCAGGGAGATCAAACATGAGGTGGGGCCACCGGCAGCAAGTATAGCGATGGTTATCTAGCAGCAGAGTAATTTCCAAGCATATGAGTAGGTATTCAGCCAAAAAGATTAGGAGTAATGTCCCGATCATTATTGTATAAGTAACTTTCCTGGAGGAGCTCCTGCATCACGCGACTATCCTAAGCGACAGTCAGGCCCAGCCCCCCCATGTTAGTGTTTTTATAACGTTTGTATTTTAGCTTCTTTATTCAGATATTAAGAAGATATTATTCAATATTACCAGCTCCTGTCAATTTCAGCAGGTGGCACCAGGAGTATCCATTGGTGGGGATAATACCACCAAAATCTTTACCATCTGTGAGCATAGTTAAAGACTCATCATCCTGAACATATTCTGGTTATCTATTTATTGACTTTATTTATATGAGCTGCAACACAATTGGAATCCCTTTATCTTTTTCTCTCCAAAAATCAACTGCATTCCAATATACTTCTTGATCTTGGGTGGGGGTAAAGTTGCTATTGCTCTTTTACTTGAGCTAAGCACGTGAGTATAACATTATTTGCTATACACCATTAGACAGTTTTGCCGTTATGGGCATATGCTTTATATAAATATATATATTGTTTCATTGTTTGGATACTTGGCTGCCACAAACATTCTAAGCAAAATTTCAAGAACTAATCCCTATATTTAAGTGCAACTTTAATGTGTTATATTTTTCCTGTACTTTCTAAATGTGGTATTGGGTCATTCTATGCTCTTGCAGACCCAAAGTAAGCCTTTTATCAATATATGTTCTGGTCAGAGTGTCAATTGCTTTTATCAGACAGTAAGTTCTTTAAACACATGTTCAAGCTCATAACAGTTCCAACTACTGCTGAAATTACAGTATTAGCATAGAGAAAGCGGTAGGCTGACATGGAGCATTAAACATTCAAAGTAACTACAGATAAAGGACTTTGAATTCTAAAGATTTTCTTTTGTTATGGTGAAAAAAAAAAAAGTGAGGAATGACTCAGAATCTCCAGCCAGCTCCTGTTAGCTATAAGCAGGAGAGAGTAATTTACCACTTGTCTCACCCTGGGCATAGCGTTACTTGACAGCGACTCTCTCAGGCCATATATACTTATAAAAAAATCTATATGTAGGCATTTGGAAATTTGAAGACATGTCAATGTCTTCATTTCAATTCCTGTACAACACACATTCTAAATGACACAAAATCTCTTACAAAAACCGCCCAGAGCCGGTGCAAAGATTTTTGGTTACACAGGGTAGGTGTATCCTATAGTACGCCTTACACGCTTGGGTTTGTGTATTGTGCACCTTCTGGTTTTTGTTTGTTTGCTCTCACGTGTGGGGTGGAATAGGGGGATATCCACCTGAGTGTAGTAGGGTGTGAACTTGTTATATTTTTATAACTGTACCTAAGCGCCTATATATTCACAGAGCACTTGTGTTTTTTTAGGGTTGGGTTAGGTTAGGGTAGAGTTAGGGGTGTTGTTAGGGTTAGAGTAGGGTTTTTTAGGGGGAGAGTAGGGTAGGGTAGGGTTAGGGAGCCCTACAGAGTTTCCGAAGTGCCGAATTTGTTGTCTAACCCGAATTTTTGGATCATGCACATCCCTATTAGAGAATTTTTCCAGTTCAGCTATTTTTACATACAATTTCAAATTTAGAATTAATTCATCTTGAATTCTCACTTTAGTAAATTAATTCTTTTAGTTAGCTATTCTGTTGCAAAAATCTCCATTGTGACAGTTCTCTTGTTAAAGTGGTTCTATCACCTTCTGGGTTGTGGCATATTCTGCAAAGACCATTGATGGTGACTTGCCGCAATCAGTGGCCTGAGCTGTCCCTCGTGGGAGCCGCTATGACCATCAAGGCAGGAGCATGACAGTAATTCGGCCTTTGTCATTGTGACAAATGCACCTTCCCACAAATGTTTGCTATGGACTCCTGGGGGAGTGTGGAAGCCGGCATCCTGCCCACCGACTATGGTCCAGGTCTGAGACACCATTTGGGAGTTACCCTGCCCAGCCACCATTAGTAGCTTTCCTCGGGTGCCCCTGGTTCGGCACTTTACCTTCATTCGAATGGAACCGAACGCTAGCTCCCTGGCGGCCGCTCACATGAACCAAACCCATGAATGGTCCTCAGTGGCATTTCGATATGAGGACTTTGTGGGTTCCCGGTCACCTCAGCGGTACTTAGCCGTGAATATTATGGAACTATTTTCGGCATGAGTTGACCATGCAGTTACAGGACAACTTGGTCCGGGGTTTTGAACCAATTTTTGGAGGGAAGGTGCCTGAGACTAAGAGAACAAACGCTACCTAAAAGCCAGGTGGAGCACCCCATTATTTCGGACACAGGAGCTTCTGAAAGTTGACCGGTAAAAGCACCAAATGCCCTGGAACTATTTCGGGCATAGGACCACATTTGCGGCCGGTCAGAACTTTAACATGGTGGTGTTTTCCCTACACAGCATGGATCTGAGCACTATTTAGCAAACTTCGGTGCTCACACCAGGGCTATTGTATATTTTTATGATGTTTTGGGGAATTTTTATGTTTTATGTTTTTGTGTATGCCTTTAACGCAATTATCTCCCAGGCCCAGGGATTCCTGGGAGGGGCTTGTGTTGAATACAATGGAAAACCCCTGCTGGGGTCTGTGCATAAAAGGCAGAGATTGGCTTATTAAAATCAGTTGTACTCCCAGAACTATGTGTTGTCAAGTTACTGGGAGGGGAAAGGACTAATCCCTGCTCAGCAGCTTGGTCCTTCAGCAGGGAAAGTCCTTGTAAGGACTCTAGCTCCCAGGAATGTGTGTTGTCTAGTCCCTGGGAGGGAATAGAGCTGGTCCCCTATCCTGTTCCAGGATGGAGAGGCTCCAGGAAGACCCATGTCAAGGAACGGCAAATAGGGCAGAAGCGCAGAGGTTTTCCGCGGTTCCTGCTAGGAAGTCTTCATTGGCGGAGGTCAGGTTTTGTCAACTATAGGAAAAATGTATACTACAAAGTAGTCCTGAAGGGGAAGGGTGACATTGCCTCTTTAAGTAGTTAACAGAGAATATTTATATTAAAAAATAAAAAATTTACTTTGAAAGTATACAAGCAGCAAAAATAATAATTATCAAGGTTAGGGACAGAATGTTGGATGTGGTGGTTCAAATAATTTGGGAATAAAGGGGCACTCCATGAATAGTAAGGGTTATGGTGCTTAGAGTGTCCCTGTTGTTGGAAAAATTCCAACTGGTAGATTTCTTTCTCAATATTTGTAACAAAGCCAAAGACAGATTTTCCAATAGTACTTTTTCTATGGACCTTTTACAGTTGCCAAATTCATTATTTAAAAACTTTCAAATTTCATGGAAACTTTATTAATAATTAAATAGGCACAAGTTTGTGTGAACATTTGGGTGTATTTGGGTGGATAGTGTGTGTGTATGAATGTAGGAGCCAATGTGAAAGGCATGTCAGTGTGTCTGTGAATACAGTCATGAGTTTGACATACAGAGCTGTGTGTCTTTTGGGGGTCTGACATTGTGTGTGTATGTAATGTATTTAGATGTATTAATACTATATTGTGTATTTCTAGAATTAATGAGTTACAGTTACTGAGCCTTTTCTCCATCTTCAAATGCACGCTTCCCCATCTCTCGTATCTCCAAAGTTAGTCCAAGTTTTTCCTGCAGTCTGGTCCTCCTCCGGTGATGTCACTCGCCCTCACTGCATCCCCTCACTGTGTTAGAAAAATATGCTTTTACCTAGCCTTTGACTCTTGCAGTGCCTGGTCTCTTTACAGAAGCAGTTTGGAACAGCTGATAGGGCACTCTGTTTTTCCCACACTGATGGACAGTCAGTGATGCTACAAAATGGATGCGTGGGAAAGCTTTGTTCTTGTCATTCTGGAAGGGTTGAGTAGGTGGTCAATTGCCCACTAAACATGTGCAATTTGTTTCGGTCTGAATGCGAATTCAGACGAATTTCGGGCAATTCGGACATTCAGGTACTTTTGAATGTCCGAATAGCTGAATTGCCGAAGTTCCGAAATTGCCGAATTTCCAAAGTATCGAAGTGCAGAAGTTCCAAAGTGTCAAAGTGCCAAAGTGCCGAAGCACAGTATTACCTAAGTACTAATATACTTACCCAGTGGAAGAATGAAGAATGTTACACTGTATACAAGTTTAAATAAATAGTATACAAACATAGCCAGGATTCAGCTGTAAGCATTTGCAACACTTACAACAATCAAGTAACATACATTCATATAAAATGTAAGTTACTTAGCCTCTCAATGGAATGACAGGAATTAATAAGTAGATAACTCCTGTGATCCTTGTTTGCAGATAGCACGGTCCTCTAGGGTAAACAACAGGCACAGTCCTTTTGTTTTCATATAATCCAGGCACTTTATTTGTAAGTCCACACAGGA